CCCCGTTCGCCCTTCCCCCTTCCCCCTTCCCCCTTCCCTCCTTCCCCCTTCCCCTTCCCTCCTTCCCACTTGCCCACACCAGTCACCAGTTACCAGTCAGTGCCCAACCAACCACCTCGGGCCCAACATCAAACAAAGGCTGGTAGAGCACATTCCCTGCCCCGCCCTGCCCTGCTCTGCATTTCTTACAGAAGACGGCCAAATACTACTACTACTACTACTACTACTACTACTACTCTCTCTCAACCATCATCTGCGAGAGTACCGTCCCCTATCCACTTCTTCCCAGCAACGGGTACACAAACAAACATTCGTTGCCGCCCAGCCCATCTTCGCTTCATACAGTACTAGTACTACGTACATCCATCCCATCCCATCCCATCCCATCCCTATCCCCGTCCCCTGTTTCCTCTTGCATAGCTCAGGGCCACACATACGCACGCAGTTGGCCCGCCCGGCCGACAATGCTGGCTCATCTCGGCAGTACAAAACCCTGATTTTGCCGCATTGCCTTTGTGTCACGCGGATGGCCGTCAGACCGATACAGCAAGCAGCCCTCCAACTCACACATACCGTGTCGGGGCCCGCGAGATTTCGCTTCAACGCGAGAAGGAATGAACGCTTCGGCCTTCCGCTCAACCAGTTGTACATCTTTGACGACGAAGTATATCCCACCAAAACAACTTTCTATCACGTGTCTATCCACTAGCCTCTGCGGGAGGCGAGGCGTGGCTGTGCTGTGTGTGAGTACCGGTAACATGACATGGCTTGACATGAAAACTCGAATACCGCTCTCTATTATCTATTAACCTGGTGAGGCCACTCGAGGCTAGCCCTACCTGGAGGCAGTTGGCAGAGCATCGGGTCCATTCTACATATCCATATGAGCACTCCCTCCTTGGCCCTTGCGATTCGTTGATGGCTAGCTAGCTTTTTGGAGCGCTCCCTTTTCTGAATTGACCTATCGTGAACCTCCTCGGCTTCTAGTCCTTCCTTCTCCTTTGTCTTCCCTCTTCTCTTTACAGCAAGTTTCCATGCTCGTTCACTTCCCTACTCTTATCACTCTAACTCTGACTGTCCTATCAACCACGGAAGGCGTCACATCTGATGGGATATGTATGTTGCTGTGTCTCGCTAGTAGATTTTACTCGGGTTTCACTACCAGAAAATACTCCCATCCATGTCTTGACGACTTGAGCTTTCCCTCGATGCTTGCCGGGTCCCCAAGATCTGCTCCGAGGAAATTGTAGGCTGCCTATGTCTTCGCTCCGCCATCTCGGATAGTAGAAGTTCTCTCCTGCTGGCCTCCCTAAAGGTCTTGCTTCACAAAGAAACATTCAAGACGAGAGCTAGGAAGGCATAAAACAGGCAAAACTCGGATGAGAGACACGCATTTGAACTTGCTCACGCACTTTGAATCTGAATCGATTAATCATTTCTAAACCTGCGACCCGAATTCCATCATCACTCGCCTTCGTTATCCAGTACGATATCCAACAAATCCGGATTTCGCGCCCAGTCCACCCCACTCCCGGCAATGATAGCACTGGCCGTCCCCTTCATAATCCTCCACTTCTGACGACTCCGCTTCATCTCTGCTTCAAGCTCATCCAGCTGGTGCCGTAGCGCCGGGTCCTGAATATCTTCCTTCCGCTGCGTGTCGGCTTCCTCGGCCAGGGCAAGCATCGTCGTGGCCAGCTCGGCGTTGCGGCGAACAATCATGACATTCTCGACTTCAACTTTGGTCAACTCGTCCCTTGCTGAGCGAGCTTCCGTCGATAATTTGGTCAGGTTGATCGCTAGCTGGTCTCTTTTTTGGATCAAGGGGAAAAGGTCTCTGCCGCCTGTTAGGAGCGGAAACGTGACCCTAGCGCTTACTTACTGCTCGACGACCGTGGCTTTGTCGCCTGCGTGGACTGCCTGCAGGATTGGGGGTGCGATCAGGACACTTTCAATCACATTGCTCCGTAACAGGTAGTGAGATTTCGCTTGGAGGAGCTCTTGCTTGGCTGCGGCAATATCCTTCTCCGAGGCTTCTTGAGGCACTTCTATAACAGTCAGGGAGGGACTCGTTGGAAAAAAAGATACGGATGGGAAATCTTACCCTTGGATAAGACTCCCTGGGCTTGCAACAAGGCAATCTCGAGTTGCAGCTCCTCCAGTCGGTCATACGCGTCCAAGATCCGCCTCTCGTCCTCGTTCAGAAGAGGTGGTATCTGTGTCTCATTCTCCGTCGTCTCAACACCTTCCATCTTCTCCATCTGGCTCCCAGATATGTTCGGTCCGGTCTTTCTCAACAGATCTCCAGCGACCGATAGTTGAATATCGGTGTCACAGGGAGACGCGACGGCGCGTAACGGACGTGCTTTAGCCGAAAATGAACCGACAGTGGCTGGTGGGCTGTGGCTTGTGAGATATGGCTAGTGAGATATGGCTAGTGAGCTATGGCTAGTGAGCTATGGCTAGTGAGCTGCGGCGGCTATCTAACAAGGCTGTCGTCGCATGACAACATCAAAGTACCCATTAGTGCTTGTCACTTCCACTCCTCTGCGATCAAGAGCTCTTTCTGCAGCTTTCCACAGCTGCAGGACTCAGCAGCAGGATGGTCCTTCAAGTTTATCTCGCGCATACCGGCCAGGCTCTTCAGGCCGATCCGGGAACCTTCACTTCGTGAGTCTTGCTTGATTTAGCCTGGAAGCAATAACTAACGGTTCAGTCTTGATACTTTCAAAAGCTGGGTATCAAAACACAGCAAGATTGCTGTCCAGGACTTCGTTTCCTTGACGGCTCTGGGGAAGCCCGTCAGATTCCAGGGACTTGCGGCAGAGGCAAGGTGTATGACTGTCACCAGCACTGGCACTTACTGACAGTCAGCAGAAGGAGATATTCGTGTACGATCGCCGGATAGCACAACCCTCCTCCTCCTCTTCAACGAAGATTCCAAACACCGAAGTGCCTTTCCCTCCTAGATATAATGTATCGAGACCACCAGACACGATCGCAGATCAGAACGACTTGCAAGCATGGCGGGATCTGTTTATGCAGCGAAGATCATGGGCCTTGAAGGTTGTGGATGACTCTTCAGCCATGTCACTTGAAGCACAGAAGCGATACGCAGAGGCCGGGATTATCATTCGGGGCGTGGACGCAGCAGTAATGAACTTGGAGAAGCATGTGAAAGCGCTGGACCAGAAGAATGCCGATGTCCAAATATGGGCTGAAGATGTCAAGAAGGAGCAAGTCGCGGCAGGAACAGACTGGGAGGCTTCTCTATTGCGCCTACGTTCATTACCAGCTTCCAACGAAACGCTCGAGTTCATCACAGGCCGTGATCTTCGAGGGAACTCTATTAAACAACCTACACTGGAAGATCTGATCGATACCGACGAGGTAAAAAAATCCGGGAAGCTCGTTCAGAACATCTCATCACAGCTTGGTCGAAGCAGCGCCGAGCTAGGAACAAGGGTGGATAAGGTTATGCAGAAGGCTGACGACTTATTCGACAAAATGGAGAAGGGTCTTGACAGGACAGTGCCTATTCAAGCTACAGAGGCGGTGCAGCTGATGGAGGATATCGAGGCTATTGCGAAGAAGGTCAGCAACGACTACGAAAATGTGCTGGGCTACTCCAATACCGCCAAAAACGTCTCACAGGCTTCGAAATCAGCACTCCTACACACCAAGAATTTCCTTCCAAACTTGTCAAAAAGGAGCTTAGAGATGGATGGAATCTTACGGAAGGCCACCGTCGTCCGCAACTCTATTGCGGTCGAGTCGCTGGGTGTCATGCGGGACATTGCAATCTTGACATCTATGGTAAGCGAGGCAAACGCAGCTTTTGCTGCGCTGGACCTTGACGGACAGGCCTTCGATGCGTTCCACGTACTGTCTATGGCCAATGCACTCCCTATCACGTATGCTTCATTTCTGGCGGAGGCGATTCGACGCAGAGAGTGGAACGAAAAAGTCAAGTTAGATTCCTCAACTCTGGCAAACGAAATGGCCTCGTTCCAGGACGAGGAGGCCAAAAGACGGAGAAAGTGGCAAAAGGGTACTGGAACTGCGCTTTGGGGCGACAAGACCGAAAACAAAGTTTCCGGGTTGGAAGTCAAGCTGCTCGGTGGGGAAGACGACTGGCCTCAAGTTGCTAGACAAGACTTGGAGGCGCTTCTGGAGACCTTGCAGGCCCATGATGCGAGATCTGTGACTGTCAGTGAAGTTGCCAAGATCATATCGGATCTAAACAATCCTACCAAGCAACAAAATAAGCGAGCCAAGGCTTTCAAGGCAGGAAGTATACATGAGGCGGCTCTTGGTCGAAGTGCCCTCCTTGTGCGAGGCGACGATGATTTGATTCGTGGCCTGCAAGAGGAGAAGCAGAAGACGGAGAACAAGTTGAGGACTGCAGAAAGCCGTGTGCGAAAGCTTGAAGGCTTGTTGCATCGACAGTCGCAAATGATCCGACCTACAAGCGGGGGCATCTTCCCACCATCTGGACACCCGAGCCCTGACTTGCAAATCAACGCAAACCCTTTGGCATCCCCCCGAATTGCGGAAGATCTCTCGACACGCTCCTCCGCATCTTCCCGTGGGTTCTCTGCGCCCCACGGTGCGGACGAGAAGGCGTTCCAGCAGAAGTTCCTTTCCTTGGAGGCTGAGCTAATCGCTGAGCGGGAACGTGCAGCGGGGTTTGAAAAAGAGGTTTCGGCTCGAAAGACTGCGGCAGACGCCATGAAATCCCTAGTCGAGGAAGCAAACTCTACGAAGACGGATCTCATGGAGAACTTCGATGCCCAGCAACGAGAGTTCATTGAAGAGCGCAAATCCCTCGAGAGCGAGATCAAGCGCTTGAAAGCCAAGTTAGAAGAGCTCGAGGATGAAATGGATCGATACCTCGGATCTCGTGAAAATGAAAGGACCAGCATTGATGATCGTGTTAAACAATTGCAGGAGGAGCTAGAGCAAGTACGGAAAGAGGCGACAGCAGAGTCACAGAAAGCCCAGGGGCAAGTAGAATACCTCCGCGACCAGGCGAAAATGCAACGCGAGACCAACGAGGCTCTGGAGGCCCAGATGCATCGGCTTCGCCAAGATAACAAGGATCTTTCCACTCGCGCTGAAGCGGCAGAAGCGGCGAAAGACTTGCACATGAAGACGTTGGGCGACGTACATGCACAGCTGTCGCCTACATCTGCCATTCCCGAGGACTTTAGCAATTTGGCAGCTACTTTGATGGCTTTGTCTGGGGGCCTCGTTGCCGAACTCTGCTCTGTCAAGAGCGATGCTGCCATGTTGAGATCTGAACGTGATGCTGCTCAAGGTACTATCGAAAAAATTCAGTCACAGTTAGACTGCATGAAGGAGAGGCTCTCTGTAGAAGAGATGGAGACCGTCCAATTGCGTGCGAGTCTTGGTGAAGAACGTGCCAGGTTTACAGCGCTGGAGGCCGAGTTGATTGATGAGCGTCTTCAGCTTTCTACATTGAGGACACATATCTCCGATGGCGAAACGGGCTCTGAAGCCTTGCGCATCCGTCTGGAGGAGGAGGAGAGGAAGGTCACGAGTATGTCTGAAGATCTTGCCGCTCGCCAGTCCCGCCTCGGGAGTCTTGAAGAAGAGTTGAGATCATTCCAAGATAAGCAAAGATCAGTACAAGAGAAGCACGATAAGCTTAATGCTCGACTTGAAACACGGACCTTGCATGCTAAGGATTTGACACAGCGAGTGTATACCCAAAACGACCGGCTGTGCAGACTTCTAGAACGCTTGAGCTACACTGTCACTCGGGAAGGAGAATCGATGGTCATCCAGAGGATACCTAGGCCAGATCGCTCGAATGCAAACGACTCGTCGGATCCTGGGACAGCCGTTAAACGAAGCATCTCGGGAGCTCCTGGCAGAAAGGCAATGGCTGATAGTGCAGACCTCGACCTTCTGTTCTGGATGAACAGCGACAACCCTGAAGCCGAGACTGAGAACTACGAAGCGTACATAAAAGCATTTGGCAGCTTCGACGTCGAATCTTTCTGTGAGGTCATCACCAAACGCGTGAAGGACATGGAGTACACCGCCAAGAAGTACTCCAAGGATGCTCGCGCATACCGAGAGAAGTCTCATGCTGCTCAGAAGGAAGCTCATGAGAAGATCGCCTTTAAGAACTTCAAAGAAGGCGACCTCGCACTGTTCTTGCCAACTCGCAATCAGGCGACTGGAGCCTGGGCGGCGTTCAATGTTGGAGCTCCCCATTACTTTTTGAAGGAGCATGAGTCTCACAAGCTGCGGACTCGAGACTGGCTCCTGGCTCGGATACACAAGATTGAAGATCGTGTAGTCGACCTCTCGAAATCCATGTCTGGAGGTCACCTCCACCACCCATCTGACAAGAGGTCCTTGACGAGCAACGGCGGCGACTCTTTCGAGGATGACAACCCATTTGACCTTTCTGACGGGCTCCGATGGTACCTTATCGACGCAGCAGAAGAGAAGCCGGGCGCTCCTTCCACACCAGGGCTCAGTAAGAGCACTGTGGCGAGTACGATGGTCGATGCTAGGGGCAGCATCCGTCGCAGCACCAAGTCGTCCAGCAGCGGCGTGGAAGGACTCAACAAGACGCTCAGCAAGAGTCTGGACAGCAGGCGCGGCAGCAACAACTCGAAGAAATCAGTTCCTCTCGCAGCAACACTCGACCGAAGCGGAACCGACTCCTCCTCCTTGAAAGGAAAAGCGACAACCCAGGCTGTCAGCGGCGAGGCGTCCGAGGCCCAGATTATCCGGACAAATAGCAAGTCCGACGTCAAGGGCAGCGGGGACAAAGTTTCCAACGCGGAGGTGCGGAACGAGATTGATAAATTATTGGGCCCATGAACAACGCTGATGGCGTGTAGAATTATGTTACAGAATCTAACGTCACGTCTGCGGGCACGAGTCCGGTGAGATCGATGATTTGGGATTCGCTCTGGCAGCTGGATCTCAGTCTTGAGAGTGGGAGGAACAGGAAGTAATAGCTGGATTTCAGTATTGGGTGTTGGAGGAATAGGAAGTAATAGCTGGGTCTCGGTCTTGAGAGCGGGAGGAACAGGAAGTAATAGCTGGATCTTCAGTATTGGGTGTTGGAGGAATAGGAAGTAATAGCTGGATCTCAGCCTTGAGTGTGGGAGGAATGAAGGATAACAGCTGGAGTGTGGCATTTTCGAGAGGTGGCGTTCGTACAGCGGCATTGGGACGGCGCAACTTTGGTATCTATCTACTTGGGCGGGCTTTCCTCGTTGCGATGATACCATGGCGTTTTTTAGTCTTTACTCGATGGAATTTGCGATCTATATCATCCGTAGGTACGTTAATAGCGAAAGCGAAATATTATTAATTAATCGCCTGGGACTGGGCCTACCTTATACGCTCGGAGAGTTGCAGGTACGTTATTACGGATTAGTTCGCATAGGTAGGTAGGGAGGGAGGGGTGTACACCTGGTAGAAACGGTGTTTTCTACATGTCGATGATTTTATAGGGGAGAGAGGTATATATGTATGTGTGTGTATGTGTATATATATATATATATCTGTCTCTCTCCCCCCCCTTTTTCCTCTCTATCTCTCTCTCTCTCTCTCTCTCTCTCTCTCTCTCTCTCTCTTTCTCTCTCCCTCTTCCTCCTTCTCTATCTCCCTCCCTCTCTCTCTCCCTTTTTTCTCTCTCTCCCTCCCTCCCTCCCTCACTTGAGACCGACGCATAAACACGAGCAGGATAGTCTAGTATAGTATAATATAATATAATATATTCCCACCCCCCATTCCAACCAATCCCCCCAATTCAATCCCCAAGTAGCGCAACGCAACGACGGCCCTTCCGTCGCCCCTCCTCTTCTCTTTCGACATCTCTATTAACATCTCAACATCTCGATTAACATCTTAACATCCCTCCCTTTTCGTACGTATGTATATATGTATGTATGTATGTATGTATTCGGATAACATAACATAAGCAAGGTTTTGATATACGTATATATATATATATATGTATGTATGTGTATGTATATATATAAATGAAAATTCCCTTTTGTTTCCCCTTTTTTCCCTTTTTTCCCCTTTTTTCCCTTTTTTCCCTTGTTTTTGGTGTGGTGGGGAGGGAGGGAGGAGGGGGGTTTGGGGGGTTTGGGGTTATGTAGGGGTAATGTAGATATCTTAGGTACATATATCGGTACGTGCGTGCTTGCGTATCCTGTAGATGATTGCGATGGGAGAGAGAGAGATAGATGGGAGAGATGGGAGAGATGGGAGAGATGGGAGAGATGGGAGAGATGGGAGAGATGGGAGAGATGGGAGA